GGGATGGAGCCAGGCTCAGGGATGGATCCAGAATTAGGGATGGAGCCAGGCTCAGGGATGGATCCAGAATTGGGGATGGAGCCAAGCTCAGGGATGGATCCAGAACTAGGGATGGAGCCAGGCTCAGGGATGGAGCCAGGCTCAGGGATGGATTCAGGCTGCTGTGGCCATTTTCCATCACCTTCCCCAGCCAACAGCCCCACTGCCCTCCTCATGCTGCAGCCCCTCAGCCAGAAATGGGGGGAAAAAAGCGCTTTTTCCACCTGCTTTTCTCTTGCAAATCTGGATTTGAGGAATTTGAGAGCACAGAGCCTTAGCCCATCCCTATCTGGAGAGACAGGGGGGACATTCAGCACCCACCAGCGACGGCACCGAGCCACCAGCACCCCGTGCAGGACCCGGCACTCCCGGAAAAACCCTGGAGAACGCCTGGGCTGGGGAAAAACCATCAGTTCGGGAGGCCCTGCTGCTGCCAGGGCAGGCAGGGGGCGAGGGCCCCACGTGCCAGGGCAGTGCCACGGGTGGGGCCGTGTTTGTGGAGATAAATCACCGTGGGGAGCAATGCGGAAGAGCAGGGAGCGGGGCTCCGCGCCGCGCCAAGCCGGCGATTAAATATTTACCTTAGCAGGTCGTGTTTGCCAGTGATGGATCGGCGTTTCCAGGGAGGAGCTGGCTTTTGTTCCAGCACGGAGCCAGGCCCTGCCCGGTGCCCGGCGGGAGACGGGGCCACCAGCCACACCGCTCCCTGGGGACATCGGCTGCGGCTCCCGTGACACAAAGAGGCAAGGCTCATGTTTAGGGTGGAACAAACCGGGTTTAATCTCTGGAAGGTGAAGGAAGAATCCCAAAGGACCCTGCCCCAGGCAGGACAACGGAGATGGGGAGTGGGGAGGGGGTGGTGACAGCACCCGCCAGGGTCCGAAGTGTGAAGTGCAAATGGCGTTTGGAGTGATCACAGAGCAGAAATGGAACTTTCCTCCCCAAAAATGCATCTTTCCTGCCCCAAAAATGTGTGTAAGCCTCGGGGAGGCTCGTAGTAAAAAGTGAGCTACAAAAGGCTTTGAAAAGTGAACCCGTCCCCAAATAAATAAAGCACTGAGCCGTGCCTGTGCTGTGCTGCGCCGGGGGTGCCACCAGCACCCTCTGCCCACCTCGTCCTGCCAGGGAACACCTGGCAAGGTGCTGGAATGCTCCTTCCTGCAGCGCTGTGGGGTGTGATGTCCCCAGGGCTGGGCTGGGCCCCGAGCAGCGTGTCCCCACGCCCTGTCTGAAGGGGACAGGGACCTTTCCCAGGGAGAAGGCCAGCAGCGTCCTCGTACCTGTCAGGACCTGCCCAGCTCCCAAACGGGGACACATCCCGGGTGCCTCCGAGTCCTTACAGTGCCAGTGCTCCCCAGTGCCAGCTCCCCGCTGTCCCCAGCACTGCTCAGGGCAGTGCCCAGTCCCACGTCCCCCCGCAGCCAGGGGACCCACGGGCCGGTGTCGCTACGTGCCCAGGGACAGGAATGTGACATTGCCCTCTGTGTCCAGGCACAGCCCCCGGCTGCCCTCGGGGCCTGGCACGGAGCACCCGCTGCCACCGTCCTTCGGCAGCGACCCCTCCAGCGCCTGCCGGTTGTCCACGTCCCTGGGGCGGGGGACAGGCGAGTCCCGGTCCCCGGGGCCGGGGGACAGGCGCTTGGTGTCGGCACACTCCGAGTCATCCGTGCCTGGTGTCTTGGAGCCGCTGTTGTCCTCGTCCAAGGGGCTCTCGGCGCCCTCCGGCTCCGTGTCCGACTCACCCTCCTCCTCCTCCTCCTCCTCCAGCGTCAGCTCGAACTGGAACTTGTCGGTGGTGGCGGGGGACACGGCGGGTGCCTCGGGCGGAGGGGAGGGGCTGCGCGGGATCATGCTCTGGTACCACTCCCGGTTGTCCTCCAGCGTGTCCAGCAGCTCCTGGGCGTCGGGGTGCACAAGGTCGGCCCAGGTCTCCCACAGCGGGTGGGCGATGAAGTCGATGAATCCCACCTGGGGGGAGGCAGAGCTGAGCCCCCCCTGCCTTGCCCTGGCACCCTGCCCTGTCCCCAGGCTGCCACCCCACCTGGGATTTCTCCACGGAGGCGGTGTGCTTGTCACACATGGGGCTGATCTCCATGCCCTTCTCCCGCTCCCGGTCTCCTTGGTGGAAGAACTCCACCATGATGCGGTCGGTCCACTGCCGGTACAGCTCCAGCGGCTTCGTGGGGTTGCTGAGGTCGGCGCAGTGCACCATGTTCTGCAGAACCTGTGGGCATGGACACCGTGTCCTCTGTCCCCCCAGGGCCACCCAAGCTGTGCCACGAACTCGCTTGGCCCCCCCCCCCAGTTGGGTTTGGGATGGTGGTGGCACCAAGTGGGACATCCCGGCAGGCCAGAGCTGGGATGGACACCTGCGGTGCTGGGAAGGGTTGCCCAGGTGTGTCCCCACCTGGATGCGGTCAGAGTAGTTGTCCAGCAGCAGCACGCCCAGGCTGGTCACCTTCTTGGTCTCCACCATGGTCTTCAGATCCGCCAGCAGGTTCATGTGCTTGGACATGTCCGTGGCCAGCACCTGGGCAGGGAGAGGTGGGAACGGGTCTCAAGCCTGATCCCCCAGCCCAGACCCCACCCTGGGCTGCTCCAGCCCCCCATACCATGTCGATGACCATTTTACGGAGCGTCTGCCTCTGCTTCCTGCTCAGGTTCTGGAAGATGTCGCAGTTCTCCTCCTGGAGCAGCTTGAAGCCCACGGCCAGGTGGTGATTCTCCAGCACCGAGGCGTCGTTGTACATCAGGGCCAGCTCCGAGTCTGTGAGACAGCACCAGTCACCCCGGGGTGACTCCTGGGGTCCCCCAATATCCCCCAGGTCCATCCCTGCGCCCCAGCTCACTGGTGTTGATGAGGAACTGGTTGGAGACGCCGGGGTGGTCAACGTCATGGATGGCGCTGGCAAAGATGGCAGCCATGATCTCCAGGTCCGTGAAGACAGCCTAGGAATGGTGGGAAAAGGCATTGGGGACATGTTACGGCCCCTCAGGCACACCTGGGTGGCTTCAGGTGACCAGGAATCACCTCCAGCGCAGGCGTGGAGAGCAGGACGTGCGTGGACTGCGCCACGTCGGCGGCGTGCAGGCTGTTGTGGTAGGCCACGTCGGCGTGGTAGTGGTCCTCCAGCGTCAGCATGTAGGTGATGAAGGTGTTGACGGGGATGCGGAAGGTCTTCATCAGGTCACGCTCCTGCAGGAAGGCGGGAGGTGGCTCGTCCCCGTGCGGGCACAGGGACAGGGACGTCCCGGCGGGGCGCTCACCTGGAAGATGCTGTACATGATGACGGTCAGCGGGCGGTTCCCCGAGTACTCGGC